CACAAGAACTTTGGCACCTCAAGGACATCTTCTGTCTGGTCCGAGGTAAGGATGGTGACCTTGACCTTCTGGCCATTGGAAAGCAGCACTTCCAGCACCACCTCCTCTGTGGGTATCTGCTGCGTCTCCTGGAGAGAGAAACAGCACTAGCACCGCAGCCCCTCCACTGCTGACCACCCTCACGGTCTGAGGGCCCCAGCTCGCACTGCCTGGCCCCGGCAGTCAGCACTCACCCCCATGCAAGCTGCCCCAGCAGCCCACCACCTCCAGCAGCTCCTGCACCCTCACCTGCTGGGCTTTGCGCAGGAAGCTGTTGAAGGTCTCACTCCCTCCAAGTGTCGGGTCCTGCCAAAAAAACAGGGGGTCAGCTATTATGCAGGGAGTGGCAGGGACCTCCTGCAATGCCTGTCTGCTCTGCAGCCACTCAGAGTTTGCACCCAGAGTATGCACATGCTGCGTGTAGGGCATGCACATGGGCACCCATGGACATCCCGCAGGTGGAGGCACCAGAGGTCTCCACTTCTGCAAGGGCTGATGTCCAGTGGACAAGGCCAGCTAATACCAGAGCGAGTACGAAGATGGGCTACAGCAAGCAGTGCTGAGAGGAGGGTGCAGGTAGTGCCCCAGTGCCCTGAGTGACCAAGCAGGGGGCAGCCTACCCTGAGCTTACCCGCCTGCATGTATTTCTCCAGCTGTTCCCGTCGTTGCTCCACCTCTGCTGGGGTGAGTGTGAAGATCTTCTTTGGGGGAAAGGCTGGGACCACATTAGCGCCATACTCTTTCCTTAACTGGGAAGAGAGCAGAGTGCCATGACAGCCCACAGGGAGATGGTGGGTACTCTGACCTCCACACCACAGCTGATTTCCAGGGCCCTGGCAAGGGGAGTTTACAAGAACCCAGCCAGGACATCACGGGGCAGGAGAAAAGGCCTGTACCCAATGCCAAGGAACAGAACAATCCCCTGCCCAGCTCCATCAGCAGCACACACCAGCTCACAGCCAGCACAGCACCCAACACTGTGGCTCTCACATGGTGCTGTCCTGCAGCACCCAACAGCAGCCCACGGGACCCAGCACCCTGCCTGCCAAAACCACAGCAGGCACCACAGTGCTGCCCACAGGATGGGTGGCAGCAGCTCCCACCACCACTGGGGGTGGCTCCCTACCTGCTCATGCAGCCCCAAGAGCTGGCTGTAACGCACTCGGCAGTGCAACACCCCATTCACGTGGATGTTGTAGGCCTGTGGGGAGAGACACCAGTTAGACACCAGAATCCACCAGATCCACAGGCTAACCCAGGACGAAGCCCTGGCAGGCCCACAGCCCAGGAGGAGGCGATGCTCCTGAGGACACCACTGAGGGGCAAATGCGGCATCCCCAGCCTTCCCCTCCTGGCAGCAGAGCTCAGTCCCCGTCCTGGGAAGCACCAGGACCCACCTTTTCCCCTCACATGCCATGTGCCAGGCTGGGAACCACTGCAGGAGCTGTGTTTGCCTTGCAGGCACCAGCCCCAGCCCAGAGGCACTGATCCCAGCATCATGCTGCCCACTACCTGGACCCCCTCCAGAGGCTGCCCTGGAGCACACAGGTCAGCAGCACTTCCCCTGCTGGGCTAGGGCCCTCTCCGGCTCTCAGGGGCAGCACCCCAATGGAGGTGGACACATACCGCAACAAGCAGCCACAGGTAGGCACAGCCATAGCCCCATGCACAGCCAGGACCAGGAAGAGCTATGTCAGCAGCCAAGGGCTATGTTAGCAAGTGAGGACAGATGAAACGCACAGGACTTGCACAGAAGAGTACAATACAGCACTGAAAGGTTTCTGTGTGCTGCTCTTCTGAAGGCGAGTCAGTGTTGGTGCAGACATGCAGCTCTGGGGAAATGGTCAAAACCACTCAGGAAGTAAAAGTGCATCCAATAGATGTGCCCGACAGACACCAGGAAGGGGTAATCGTGCAGCTCCCCAGACACAGGAAGAGTATAGAGACACGCTGCAGCCCCATGGACACGGCTGTTCCCCAAGTCAGCAGGCAAGGACACTCCTCCATGCTCCCAGCAGCAAGAGGAGGAGGTGGCAGCTCTCCATTCTGCAGACCCCAAACACATTTGGAGAAGCAAGCAGAGTAACACCGTGGCCAGCACAGCAACCCAGGCTGCACTCAGGCCAGCGGAGGGGGAGCATGATGTCCAGCTGCAGAGAGCTGCATGGCCAAGACATCCCCACTGCCAAAGGCTGCAGGCTTGGTCTCGCTCCAGCACCTCCCAGGGTGCATGGCCACAGCCAGCCCTCACCACAGGGCAAGGGATTCTTTCCTTGTGTGCTGCCTGCCCGCCCTGGGGCCACCACAGCATGCCCCAGCACTACAGGTTGCCTAAATGTGTAAGAGCTGCTGCAGAGAGCTCAGCAGGACATGCCCCTCAGCAAAGGGGAGAGGATGGAAACCCTCTGGGACACTTCTGCCCCAGCACTACAGTGGGAGGCAACTGCCCCAGCTGCAGGGGATCTCATGAAGCTGGTCCCTGGCTGCTGCTCCCCGGTGTCCCTCTGCCCTGGCTCAGCTCCCCGCTGTCACCGCAGGCAGAGCATGGCAGAGCTGCACAGGGCCCAGTGACTCTGTGCCCCAAGTTCCAGGCACCCCGCCACAGACAGCATCCGCCAAGGGGACACTGCTATTCCTCTCAGTGCCAGAGCAGGTTCTGCCATACCCAGAACACTGTCTGGGAGGGCAGGAAGACTGCACCACAGGGGATG